CTTCTGAACAGTGACTGCTTGTTAGCAAAGTAGAAACTCCCTGGCTGTAAACTATTGTTTGATTGATAATCTTTGAAGGATGTAATAATATGTTGGTTTGTAAAATTGTGTCAAAACTCTTTTTGCAGGCGTACTCAGTCTTTGTTGACAAAACCTAAAGTAATACCGATGACACATTCTGGTTTGAAGAAACCGTTTGCAAGGTCTTTCCGGTAGTTTCTTGTTTCGTCAATTCGTGTTTCGTCACTTAGGGAAATTTAACCTGTTATGACCCATTCTATTCTTGTTTCGTCAACTGCAAAATATACCTGTTTAAGGTGTTCTTGTTTCGTCACCTCATCTTTGCACCTGCGCTAGGTTAGGTAGTTCCAGTTCCAGTAGTTTCGGAGCCTATTCAATTCAAACAAAAAATCAAATCTTTCCTCTTTATAATATTAGTGTATATTATTGATAATAAGCATTAAAAAGAATATAGGTTTACGGACTTTTATGGCCCTAGTAGTCCCAGTTGACGAATGCGGAATGATTTATTACCTGCAAAAGGTCAAAAAGGGACAGGTGACGAAACAAGAAATTTTGGGGTAGGTGACGAATCACGAATTGACGAAACAAGAACAAATCGTCTTTCCTGACAAAGTTGTCTACAGTTTTATCACTTTCCAGGCCAGTATTTCGGGGAATCCAGACCAGAGACAATTTGTTGAAAGTAGTTTTTAGTCATTCACAACTTGAATGTTGTTTAGTGAAAGCCAAGCCCTGCCAGAACTGCTGGGCTATCCGAAAATAATTTTGATGATATACGCTTGAGGTTGGTTACCTCCAATCTCTCCATATACAAATCAATGGTGTATATTTTCACATAAAATACGATAGCGAAGCAGGTTGATATCATCTACTTCGCCTCTTACAACGAGTCAATACAGCATAATCCAAACTCCTATGGAAGTTTTCTTTTCTCGTAACCAGAAGTACTGAATATCACGAATGTTTTGTTTGAGACATTGTCATCGCAGCTCTCTTTCGAAAAGTTTTCTTTTAGTTCGTTCATTCACTGCTTCACGGTCAAATTTTTGTCGTTTTTAAACTTTCAACACCATAGAGCAGTGGTTCCCAAACTATGGGTCACAACCCACAAGTGGGTCGCGGGAGCAATTTGGGTGGATCGCGGAAACAGATTAAAAATACTGAATACGTTCGACTTGTTTTTCCCATTTTGGATAAAGGCTAGGGGAGAGTATCCAGTTCTTTCGAACACAGCCTTAAAAGAGCGGATGGGGTTTTCAACCACATATTTGTGTGATAGGTCATTCTTCATTGGTATATTTAAAAAATAAATATAGAAATAGGCTTTGTGTGGAAAGTGACCTGCGTTTAAAGCTTTCAACTTTCAACCCAGATATAGAGTCTCTTCTGAATCGTGAGCACAAGGCATATTGATTACATAAATCTCATTTTTTCATTTTTTATATTTGCTTAGTTTTGAGATTCTGAAGTGAAAGTATTTTTTCGTACTGTATTTTTTCTTCAATTATATTGTCTTTACCATTTTCTTTCAGAGGTGTATTCCTCAATAGTAAATTTTCACGATAATAATAATAATATTGAAAATATAATTATTAATAATAGTTATACTCAACATTATTTTATATGTGGGTCGCGAAAAAAAATCCACAATGAAGGTGGGTCTCCACGCAGAAAAGTTTAGGAAGCGCTGCCATAGAGAGCTGGTTTTCCATATAGATTATACATATTGCGCCGCTTACTTATTGAACTAAAAGTCCGGTAGTCACAAATTCGTCTTGTTCGTTGTAATTTTTACTGTGATTATATAGAATTCAATATAAAGAATGATAAATCTCGAAAACCGAATAGAATCCACAATATCTATCCGACCGATTTTATGACCTCCATAACAACAAGGAGCGTTTCGTTGAGGCTAATATTTCTTGTAAATAAGATTTTTATTACACTCACTACCTGTTGAACCCCATAATAGTACAGATCTCATAAAGTAATAATTATTTAAGAGCCAATGATTAGCAATGGTGGAAGTGGGGTTTCTTCAGCTGGCTTCTGAAAATTACAAGACCAATAGATGATTAATAAGGTACTTCAATGAGTTTACTGTCTATAATGTAGTTGAAAAATAAATTATGAAAAGAATAGTTTGACACTAATGAACTAGTTAGGTAGTCTGCATAATTTTCGTGTTGAAGGGTTATAAATTGATAACTCCTTTACATCAATTTTGTAATAAAAATTCAAAATTACACAAAATAAACCCTCGAAGATTTCAGATTTCTAAAAGAGTGTTATGCCTTCAATTAGCAGTTGATGAACCCCCTTCTTCTCAGAGACATTCAAAATCACCACTATTGTTCCCCAACAATCCATGTTGTCTCCAACCCTTTTTCTGTCAGACATCAAAAATAATATATTGCAAAAAACTACAAATCGAATTTTTTGCATTGCTAACAATAGCACACATGTCTTTCATTTCCATCAGCTGCCAACGCACATCTTCGACAAAAACAAGAGTTTTTTTAGGTCAGTGAGAATCGGGAAAAATTTCAACTGGAGGTTTCAGAAAAAGTAGAATTTGAACCAACCGAAAGCCCAAGCTTCACTTCAAAATTCATGAAAGTGAGTGTAGTGGAACCAGTCGTTATCAAGTCAGAACACAAAATTTGAGGTTAAATTGATCTGGTCCCAATCATATTACTGGAATAGCAAAATTGGCATTTACACAACACTATTTGGTACTAGGAAGGAACCTCGGCCACTTTTGAGGCTTCATGATGCTCAAATAAGACCTTCTTTGAAATATTGCTCAGATCTATAATCAATTCAAATTGGAGTGCCACGGGGAACAGTTTTAAAACCAATTTTTTAAGTATACCAATGATATATTTGAAGATATTATTGTGGGAAAAGTGTTAAAAACCACACATCTACAACTTTATACTGTTATTTCATTCTAAATGAATAAAGATAGTTTGAAACATCGAAAGAAGATTGGGGAATGGACGAATGATCATTTTTCATCCAATTAATACGAACTTTACCAACATTGAAATGGTAAGGTCCGGTGTCCACTTGAGTAATTTCTTTCCAATTCTTTCCCTTCTCTCATGTATGATAGTGATCAGTTCTAATATAGGGTATAAGCAAAAATTAGATATTTTTTCAAAATATTTTCTTTAATTTTCGATCATGCTGTTTCTGAACTCTTTTATTTTTTCAGAATTCATCACTAACAATAAAAGTTCAAACCTTTGTCGTTCAGTAAAAAGCTTGTCAACCACAGTAGATCATCTATATGATAATGCAAACACGTTTCATTTTTTCCATTCAATAATTACATTTTGACCTTCATTTTTATGTTTGTGGTTATGTTATGCGCAGAATCGTGGTAAATCATTGGGTATATCTAATTTCATAAAATTATTGTTTGCGAAGAACAAAGTAAGTATTTATTAAAAGTCATTTTTGCATTGGAAAGAGACTTTTTCGGTAAATTTTTATCTTTCACAGACGGAAACAAATGTAAGAAAAATTGCATTAAGGTATGAAAACGGCTATTAGGTTATTAATTTAATTCTGACAAGTTACTGAGAAAACAGCAATGAATAAATATTTTATTCTTTAGTAAATATTTCGTATACTTGCATCCAATTTACAAAACATGAGGAAATATAGAGGATTTTTTCCTATTGTTGATCTTTCAATATATTATTTTGCTGCATCCTACGCGTCACTAACACACTAACCAACTGAGTTGTATACCTAATGTTTTCAGAGGTATACAAAATAACATCCTGACTGATAAAACCAGCAAAAAGATACTCAACTGGAATTACAGCAAATATTTCAGAAATAATTCCTATCGATTACTTCTCTACTGGTTTAATGATTCAGAATCAGTCAACTTAGTGTGTATTATATATTTATAAAAACACTTGTCCTTTTAAGCTGATGATATACCTATATGAAACTTTGTATCGCAGTTCAGTGCAGTCCATTGTTTGAATGCAATTGATAAATTACAATTAAAAAATACTTTTTAACTTTGTTCTTTGATTATGAAAGTTTCAGCTGATATTTTTAAAAATTTCGGTAAAACTTTTTTCCTTTCGTTATAAAAAACGGATTTAGAATTACATCCAGTGAATGCTTGAAAGAAGAAGGGATCATTGGTTTGGTTAACATGGTTTTTGGCAAATAAATTCCTTTATCATCAGGTGCCGAAGCCATTAATATCTACCACTGATAGATCAATGTTCTGTGCTATGATTGTAATTAAATGATTCTTATCACTTTCTGCCTGACACCAATAAATATAATTTTCGTCCATTTTTTGCAGAAGAAACTCTTCAGCCCATTTTCATTACTGCGTTTTTCAAAAATTATTCTTCAGTTGTATTTAGAGGCATGTATCAAATAAATAATCTATTGTGACACTTCAATTCCATTATTATTATATTCGAAAATAACCATTGGTGCCTTACTTATAACATGAATACAAAATGTTACTCTTGTTACATTAATTGGTACACAAAATTTTTTTTGGAAAAAAATCCACACAGAACTGAATTATGTATATAAATATCAAACACGTTGTTTAAATAATTCTGTCCATGCTTAAAAAAGCGCAGTTTCTGAGGACTTTCGAGGAAAAGATTTCCTTGATTCGACTAATTCACTATCGCCAGTCGATAGAATACATAGTGCTTTCCTGGAAAGCGCGGTATCTTCTTCCTAAGGTCGAACCGTGAACATCCGAACTCCGAAGTTAACCCCGCGAAACGATCACCGAACCGAAGCGCCACTTCCCATTCCGCGAAGAACGACACGCACGTCGTAGCTTTCCGCGGCGAACTTCGTCACAAACTCGTCGCAGCGTTTGCTGCCTACACCGCTAGATCGCACGCGCGTGCTCGATCCGAGCCGACCGACTAATACGCGAGATTCACATTTCAGTCAGTGTGTGTTTGCAATCAGGGCGAGAAGGCGAGCGCTCCGCACTTCGCGACATAAACTCGACGAAAACGTACCGCGGAAAATAATACAGAGTGCGCATTCCATGAAAGTGTCAAAATAATTAACTTAAAAGGTGTTAGCTCGAGTTGAATCGGTGAAAAGCGAGCTTCGTGTTAATTTATTCTCGTAAATGTGCTGGAATTTCTCGCTCATTTTGGTGTTTTCTTTTTCATAAACCATCCGATATCCTGCTGTGCGTTCTACTCCTCTGCACCTCTTCATGCTGTAATCGCCCTCCACGACCATCATCCTCACCATCGCGGACCCGGTGGCGTGCGCCGCACCAACCCTGTACGACCATGTGCACCCTCCCGGATCCTCCCCAGCCACCGGAGCGGGGTCTTCCACCGGGGTAGCCTGGTGGTCCATGATGAACGGCAGCCTGTACGAAGATAGCCCGCCGCCAGCCCCCCAGAGCGCCGCGACGCCCATCAGCAACAGCGGCATGACGAGTCCTGCCACGGTGCCGCCTCCTGCAGCTACGACGTCGGCGACGAGCAGCTCGTCTCCGGCCAGTGTGACGAGCAACAGCGGCTCCGTGGGCCCCTTGCACATTCCCGCCAAGAGATTGACCTCGGGGGGATACGGAGACTGCGGAGACGGAGTGATTCGGCACGGACACGGGCAGCCCTGGTCGTACTCCCCCTCGGAGAACCACCAGACCGGCTTCGAGGGGTTGAATCACCACCAGTACAACGCCCCCACGTATTATAACCTGGCAGCCGACCCTTCAGGCAATAGAGACAGGGGCAAAGCCCCACTCTCCTTCTGGTCACCTGCAGCTACCGCCTCCGCAGGCACTCCGGAGTACAAGTACAGCAGCGTGGCCGCAGGCCCAAGCGCCGATCCTGCGGTGTCGTCGTGCCATCAGAGTTTTTCCGGAAGTTCCTGGTGCAACTACTCGCCGTATTCGTCTGCAACAAGGCATCACGTGGATGCCCACCAAGCCGTCCCTTATTTGCCCTCTGATGATCGGGGTAGAGCGGCAGCTGCAGCTGCGATGGTAGCAGAGAGTGCCTCCTTCGCCCACGCTCACGACAGAGGTTATGGCCTTGGAAACTACGGCCCTGAGCCTGTTCCGTCTACACCTTACCCCCCTCCAGGTGAGTTATTGCATTAATTTCGATTTAGTTTCAATCACGCATTTGTTTTCATCTTCAACGCACGAAGACGTAGGTTAACAGTTGCGTCGCTAGATGGCAGCAGAATTCAAATTCGTTGCCTAGGGTCGGTGGCCGAGCTTTCGAGTAACACTGGAAGCCACGGCCTACGATGATTTAAAATCGATAGTGGCTCAGTGGCAATGGGATGAAAATACAAATATTTTTTTATTTCGCTCTAATAGTTCAAGTTCAGTAGGACGCGAAAAATGATAACGACTCGTGAAAGAGGTTATAAAATTTAATTGACACCATTAATTTTATGGTTTACTCGATGTTTGTACAGTCAGAATCGGTAGTTGAAGTGAGTTTGTTTGTGAATTGTAGACAGTACTTATTTCGGAAAATATTTTGGGTTGGGTTATTATTAAATTCTTCAAATTTAGTTCGGTTAGGTCAGTTTTATTACTTTGTAAAATTGATCAGATGATTCATTTCTTCGTTCACAAACAATATTACTTACTTCGGTTTCCGTTCACACTAGTTTTACCTATATGTAGGTATCTTTTGTGAATTTCATACAATTCATTGGGGCCAATTGACGATTGATATCGTCCTTTTAAATGACGTCATGTTTTGCCATGTGACGTAACAGCTGATTATCGTCACGCTTGATGGTTTTAGTTAGGTTACGATTATGAGGGTTTATTATCCGATAGATTACAATGTTAGGTACCGATTAAATCCATGTTCAGTATTTCATACTGAAACACCTTTACATAACATTGGATAAATTAAATTACCAAGGAATCCGCTATGTTATAGTTTTTGATGAATTTGAAAGTACAGAGTTATTTTGGTGAATGGCCTACTAACCAACATTTCATACACATTTTGAGCTTCTAATTGATAATATTCAAATAATTTTATATGGACTGGTGGATATTTAAGTACCTACCTACTCATCTATATTTTTCATAACAACTACTATTATTATCTAATGAAAAGTTGTATAAATATGTAAGTAGGTATAGTACCTACTTTCAGACCTATACCAAATTGGCTTTTGACTAGCAATATCAAAATCATTTGTGGAGTACTTCCACTCGTATACGTAGTTCTATCATCAATGTTTAAAATGTCAGTTCGGTATTTCTCTACTGTTGATGACGGTTTTGTTTAAGCCCTCTACGTATTTGTTTATCCAAGCCATCATGTTTTTCAATTCAGAATGTGAAGAAAATTAAATTATATTTTACGATGATTTTTCAACTCGTTTCGTGAAGAAAGATTTTTTTTTGTTTGACTGCACATACCAGTCAAATAAAATCAGGATAGCCTTAATTGAGAAATCTGAAAAGTATTGGAACGGTGCAGATTTGCATTACCATAGAGATAAAAAAATCTAGAACTATTTTGTGTTAAATGGGAAGGTGAGAAAAAATACGTTAGAGCTGAGCTGAGGATCCAAAAAAACACAAAAAGGTCATTGAAAACGCATTAAATGATCTTGAATTTTTGCTAAAAATATGATTTTTTATTATGAATATTAATTTGGTCTAAGCACTTAAATATTTGTTTCGAGGGAACATTTTTCTGTATACAGTGTTTTATAATTGTATATTTTTATTTTTTTTTTGTATTATGGAAATAATTATTTTTCAAATAATAGTCATCCATTCCTTTTCGCAAAAAATGAAAGTCACTTTCAAATAGTAATTGTCATCTTTACTTAAATAATTAAATTTGTATTACACCAATTTTCTTTTGTTTGGAATTATTAATTGTTCACAGTTATGTGGGGATCATCCCCATCTCTCTTTGCTTCAGGTTCCTTGGGTTCTATGGGAGTGTCAGTACCATGCGGCGCGGGCACCAATCCCCTGGAATGGACAGGGCAGGTAACAGTCCGGAAAAAACGCAAACCCTACTCTAAATACCAGACGCTCGAACTCGAAAAAGAATTCCTCTTCAACGCCTATGTTTCGAAGCAGAAACGTTGGGAATTGGCACGCAACCTCAATCTCACCGAAAGGCAGGTGAAAATCTGGTTTCAAAATCGACGAATGAAGAATAAAAAAAACTCCCAGCGACAGCAGAGCCAACAACAGAACAACAACAATTCGGCCACCAACAACCAGAATCACCATGGTTCTCATCATCACGCACCTCACCAAGTTCATTCGCAGCACCACATTGTGAACCACCATGTTTCTGCTAATGGGACTTTGAAACATCATCAGTGACCTATGGCATTTTCCGGGGTTGTTCTAGGTCATCACCATGGTTTAGCCACCTAACTCACCCGATTTAGTTCCATGTAATCGATAAGTGCTTGAATGACTTAGTTCAATTAGGGTGTAGACATTCGGCGACCCTGGAAGAACATTCTTTGCAGTGCCAAAGAGTAAATTTATGATTGTTGAATTTGTAAATTTACTGAATGACTTTAAATACTTTTTTTCAATTTGAGAAATTTGGGCTTGTGCAAATGAAACTGGTGCAAAGCACGAAATTTGCTACTTTGTCCGGGTAGCTTTTCACTTCACTGTAAGATGAAAAATCATCCGAATGAAGCATTTAAGACTTACATTGTACATATGTCGACTGTAATTTTGTCATTAGATTGTAATTCGTTAGTATCTTTAAATTACTGTAATCAATGTTGCCTGTAGTGCAGTGTATAGTAAATTATTGCGGGTAGAGAATATTAAAATACGGGGTGAGTCAAAATTACGAAACACTAAATTCATGTTTTTATTGTTTTTTACAGAGATTTACTCTTGTTTTGGAATTTTTAAGCATGTTTTCATCCTGAACCTGTATCGTGATTTATAAGAATATTTCGCGAATGTTGTTTTTAAAATTTGTAGAAGAAATTCATTAGTCTGTTGTAAGTGTTTCTTTTAATTTTTTTTTGTTGTGTATAGGGGCACTAAGTGAAAACTGATATATTGAATATTGTTGTTTGAACCTGTTATTTTTTATAATTTTGACAGTAATTTGGAGTAATATTGACAAAAAACATCTGATATAATATTTTATATCAACCTGCTCTAGTTCAGGGTAATTTTTATCGAACAGTTTCAAAGAGATTATGAGCCATTGATTTTATTGGGAACTTAATGTTTTCATTGATTCAAAGTTTTTTATGGAACATATGTTTGATTCACCCCTTATGAAGCCATAAGTTTCCTGTGTTAATTTCAGTTTCCTACCTTGCAACTTAATGTACATAATAAATACTTTTAGGTACCTGTATATCTGTGGCTTGTTGTATACGGTTGATGCAAAATTTTATTTTTCGTTAATATTTTTTCAGTTAAAATGATACAGCTTGGTGTATAGTCACTAAACTATTGTAATATACTTGAAAAACTTCTCTAGAAATCCGAATTTCATTACAAATAATATAAACCATTATACTAACCTGTCCTAAGGTTCTGTCACGTGTCAATGCATGATTTAGATCCTGTGACAACTGAATCATGGAGTGAATGTATATATTATGATAATTAATAATGAGATAGGTGAAGTTCATGGTTCATTAGTGAGTCAATATATTAAAAGGTTATTTACGCACCTGACTGACATCTATCCTAACCTCCTAAGTTAGCGATTTTTTTTCATTGAGCATAACAAAAAATTGTTTGGTTCTGGCATTAAATTAATGATATATTCCTCGTCATTTTTCGTAATTTCTCCAATTTGATTGTATTCGAAAGGAATTGGATTATTTTGTAATGTTTATTGCCATACATGAACTGATAAGTGAGTACAGAATGGAAAATATCTGAATTCGTGCCTTCCAAGAAGGGATTCATGAAAAAATTGGTTAAAAATGTATTATTCCTAATTTTTTTCTAAATTTTTTATTTCTACCTTTTGGTATTTAAGATATTATTCAGTAACAATTTGAAGGCCACCAATATGAATGATCAAGAAAATATGGAAAAATGGATTTGGCTGGGACTAAATAATTAATTTTGGGACCTTTTTAGGAAACTTTTCGTACGTGCTAGAATAACAAAAACTTCACCTTACTCTACTTTTTGATAAACGAACGAAAAATGGCGTTCACTGGATTCAAATAAATGTTTCTGTGGAATGAAGTGAAATTTTTATCAAACTATATTTTTGTTTTTTCAACAAGCGATTTATCTCCATTCCAAACAAATATTTGTTTCGAGGGAACATTTTTCTGTATAGGGAAATTATATTATTTAACAAAATTTTCCAATGATATGAAATTGTTAGAATAGGTGATTCTGAAGTTTGTCTGTTTATGAGCCAGCCTTGTACTATTTATACAAATGATCTCTGGCTGGCGAATCCTGTTAATTATATATATATACTTATTACTTTATCGCGACTTCAGAAATTGGTTTTTATTTATTTATTTCCATCACGTTGTGGTTAGAACTAGACATAGAAATTGTATTTTCGAATTATTTTGTATGTATTTTATTAAACCGTATTTTTAATTGTTGTGTTCAGAATGCAAATTGTTGTGTTATGTATGTATATGTATACACATAAATATTATTAAGTAACTCGTAATTGTGTTTTATAAACGTCTAAATAGAGTTTGATTTACGAAAGCTCATGGTGCTCCGTCGATTGATTTGGTTTGAGAATGTACAGGTAAGTGTAGTGTTTTTTGCATTAAGTAACGTTTCATAATATAGAATATATGATTGATTCAAAAGTTCAGAGAAAAACGTGAATTGGATCAACAGAATTGCCTCATTATGGAAACTGCTTATGTCGACATAAAATGATTATATCCTCATATAATTCTTTTATATCAACAGGTTTGTGTCTTGACACTCGAAAAAAAATGTAAAATTTTTCAACCGGTAATTTTTGAGTCAGAGATACTGAAATATAATATGAAAATAATCTCTTATACTTCCTTTTTCCCCTATTTATTTATTGTATTAAGTATACAATTTCCATACTATGGCCTCCAGAAAAATTTACTACGTGACTCATTTTTTTTTTCATTTGACAAGTTAGAATATGACTTTCATTGCAAATAATTTCTCCAAATTTGTGTGGTAATGAAAAAATCATCCCAATGTAACTTGTTGGCCCATTTTTTGAAACTAAAAATTCTCAAGTTTGGAAATGTGAAAATTTTACAAACGACCGAAATATAATTTGTCATAATTTGGAATTAAAAAATTCTCGTGGTGTTTTTTAATAAAATTTGAGAAATATCAATATTGTTTTCCATCAGCAGTTGAATGGTTTGCAATATCAAAAATTATCAAAATCTGAGTTTCACTTAGGTACTCATCTGTTTATACAAAAAAGTTTCTTACATGAGGAAGAACAAATTATATATTTTCGTTATATATTTGAAATAACATTTGAAATTTATAATTGAAATTGATACTTGTATGTAGGTATAGAAATATATATCAGAAAAACAAAAAAGTTCAATGAATTTTTTGCAATAACAATTGGGAATACGGGAATGAATCTATTGGAATCACTTTCCCTTCGCCAGAATAAAAATAAAGACATTCTGCTAACCACTACTGAGTCATCTTCGCTAAATTGATTAGTGGAACTCGCGTGGAGAGACAGAAAATTTGTTCTGATGAGTGTTATCAATAGATTCAATCAACGTCAGATGTCTTAAATTGTATTTGTCAAAATATCGGGAACGATTTTGTACATCTCAATGAGTTTCACGAAAAAGTTTATATTTCTTGAAAGTTAAAGAAAGAAGTAGTTGAAGAAATTTTCCGGAGAAACAAGATATTCAAAATATTATCATCTAATTATCTACTTCTGAGTATCTAATGCAAATGAAAATTTCCTATATATTTTTCAATTTTGAATAGTTGGAAAAACCTAAAATTATATTCTTGCAGAAATTCAAAAGCATATTTGTAAGCCCAAAAACTTTTATTAAAATTCATTACTCAGCTTTCGAACGAAGAATTCCACTGTAATATCCAAACTGAAGTGATTTTGGAAAATTAAAAAAGTGTTTACCCTTCTTTGTCACTGTCCTTATGGCCCCATAAGACTTGGGAGGAGTAAATAGATTTCGAACATGCAAAACGAGAAAAACCTATTTCAAAAAAACAAATTTCATTTTATTACCAACTGGTTTTTAGCTGAATTTAAAGTATTCAAAAAGATGGAAAAGTAATTCTTTAACTGTTAAAATAAGCAATTCACTGAAACAATTTTTCCTAATGAATAGTGACTTTGGGCTGAAAATGATTAAAGTTTGCTGAAAATGATTAAAGTTTCATATTATTATTTAACAATACACTTTAACAAACTCATGCATGGTGAAGTATGTCCAATGATTCCATAATCAAGAGAGAACAAATCTTTCATAATCAGACTGATAAAATTGGGAAGATCTCCAAAACATATCTTTAAATCTTCGTGATGTTTTCATTTATCGTAAGTACTAAACAGCAACAACAACAAAACTTTTGTGCGAGCTAAATATCAATAAAGTTAAAAAACTCACAGAAACTTAATGGAATTGAATTTTCTTGGAATCTGCAATTTTCATCACGTAATTATTGGGCGAAGGCTAAGTTTAAAAGTGAAAAAAATTCACTCCGCCACTGCTTGATTTATGACCAGTTTTTAATTTCTGATCTACTGAGGCAACGTGCATGATTTAACTTCTGATAAACATCTTTCAATTTTACATAATATAACTATTATCTAGAATGTAGAATAAATATGTTTCAACTTCTTTGACTCGTCAAGGTTGTCATCATCATTAATATATTCATCAGTTACATACGTTACTATGACTTGCGCTACAGTTACTGGCAAAATCAGAAAATGTTTCATTTTCAAGTCGAAGCTGAAACCATATCTTTTCTGTGTTAAAATTCCTTGTTGTTTCCCCCCAAAAATATCAAAACTTTTGAGTTGATTTCGTGTACTTACGCTTTCCATTTTGAATACTTTTATTTTATAGTGAATAAATGTTTTGTCGAATTGGGTTCAACTCAGATTATTTCCAGGTTATACGACTTTTGAATTTAAATATTAGGTTACAAAACTGTCAACCTCATACAAATTGTTTTAAGGTTATGATTATTTTCTCTTTTTTATCTTTAGATACATTTCGCGAGATCATTTCGAAACCTTCAACAAAAGGTTATTAAATTCTAATATCCGAATTTTATATGTTTTATATTTGATAGTTGATTTTGTAAGAAATGCATATTAAACCCTCATAATAGTAAAAAAATTGAAGTAAAGTCATGAAAAAATAGGAAGTAGAGGTCAGATATCTTGATTAGATGATATTTTCGAAGGTGTATTGGTATTTCCGAAAAAAGCTGAGAGGCCTGGGGGACTTCAATGTATGTATAAGTTGGAGGTACAATAATGCCTTATTATATAGAAAACATGCTCAAGTTGGTTAATTGCTCAGACGGCTGTTATGGAAAGAAATGTTCCAGTATCTGATTTTTTCAGAGGTTACGAATTTAGAAAATCCATCCACCCAACAAATTAACCCATTAAAGACTGTTTTAAGGTTCAACTCAGTACACCTCGAACTTCACCGTTTCTTCCACATTTCTGTAACATTCAAAGAGACTATTAAAATCCGTTTCATAATACCTACACGTTTCAGATAAAAAAAAGAAAAAATCAAAAAATAAATATGGCTTTTCATGTTTTCCAGTTTCCTGAGGTAGATACTTGCAAGGAGCTTTACTGTTTTTTTCATATTATGATTTTTTTCCAAAAAAATATAAAATGCGCCATTCAAGTGTGTGTCCATAAGAAGTTAAAGATGAAGGAGTATCAATTTTTTCATTGATAGTTATTCTTCTCAGAAGAAGCTTTCGAATTGTTATGTTTTTTCTTGTTGAGATATAACTTGTTTGAAAAACTGAATAATTCAGTGTTCAGAAACAATATTCTTCTCTTCATGTTTCTCATGGAAATGATGTTATTTCATAGATTCCACGTTTTGATTTTATAGGAAACCTGGGCCCGTGATTTTGCGGTACTATCAATCCCAAATGAACTTAGCTGACGATAGGCATATCTTTTGAGATTATTTTTTTACTGGGAAGATTTTCAATAAATTTTCAAATTTTTTTTGTATTGTCATTGTGTGTATTGTATAAGTCAGTGTATTCATAATTCAAACTATATCTTTTTAATACTTAATCTTTTCTCTTCAAAATCCCGAAGAGGTGGATAACCTGCAAATCTGTTAAATTTTCTCGAATTAATTTCAGTCTGAATCACAGCTCTCAGTTGAATTTCTCTTCAGATTGCGTCTTGAAATTTGTTGAACTATTTACAAGTTACACCGTGTAGGTATGTCAGTAACATTCTATTACATATACTGGCTAGCGTTTTTGCAAACTAATCTTGGCTTATAATTATGCGAAAATTTCCGTATTCGCTGATCTATTTTGGTATTTCATCTACCGACATCTTGGTATTCTATTTGTAATCCCCTACAAAAGTACAAAATATGGTTGATACGAGACAAACATTTTGAAAAATGATTTTCTAATCGAAGTGGAACAATTTGAGTTATTTTAGTTGTTTTAATTAAAAAAATGAGAACCTGAGACTCGTAAAAAAAGTATCCAATTCTGCAATTGTAAGCAATACCTATTTCAAAGTTGAAAACAAACGTTTTTGTCGTACATCTCAGCTTGAGCTGGAACCTATCGTAAGGATTTTGTGTGACTTTCTGAGATCTGTACTTAAATTCAATCACTAACCAGGCTTTTCATTCCTTTCAACCGTCTCAATGCTGCTAATAAGTAATTCTTTGGGCTTGAGATGGCTGACACGTTATAAGTACTTCGAAAATTCGAATATAGATACTTTACGATATTTTGGTCTACCATACAAGGAAATTCACAAACAGAGAATACTGGGAAAATGTGGAATTGAAATGTCTGGCAAAGACTGATTTTGAAAGTACTTCTCCCACTCTCTAGAATCCTAACACTCTTCTCAATTCGTGTTCCATCAACCAAATAGATGGTTGGTGAACCGCCAGATTTCTCTACTCAAGTGATACATATTTGAAGTGTGCCTTCACCTAGGTTTCAAGTCAATATTCGAATTTCCACAAAGCTTCTGAAAATTTAGGCAATAAAATTTTGGTCTTCTCTTCATCATTAAAAAAATATTAATATCAATAATATAATTTCATCCGTGTTAGGTATCGCACGCTGAAATGTAAGACATCGTTAGCTCTTATCTCGCAAAAGTTTTCACTTTTGAGGGTTGTTGTTCGTAGGGGGAAGTGGAAAAAATTCATATATACAAATTACTGGCTATTTCGCAGATCGAATATGCAAGTATCATCTGGACTCCGTTCTATGAGATTCATAATCTATACAGGGTGTCCCTGGACTTCCTCTTTTCCTCTCGGGAATGTATAGATGGAGTCAAAATATCACCAGTACTTCATATAACTTTTTTTCCTAAAATCCTTCGTTACCAAGTAACGGGCCCTCGA